CCAAGGCATTTGAAATAAAAATTTTTGGCCGGGCACGGTGGCTCACGCCTGTAATCTCAGCATTTTGGGAGGCCGAGACAGGCAGATCATGAGGTCAGGAGTTCAAAACCATCCTGGCGAACACGGTGAAACCATGTCTCTACTGAAAATACAAAAAAATTAGCCGGGCGTAGTGGTGGGCGCCTGTAGTCCCAGCTACTCGGGAGGCCGAGACAGGAGAATGGTGTGAACCCAGGAGGCGTAGCTTGCAGTGAGCCGAGATCACGCCACTGCACTCCAGCCTGGGCGACTGAGCGAGACTCTGTCTAAAAAACAAAAAAACAAAAAAAAAACCAACATTTTTTAGAGGTGGAACTTGTTAAATAAGGGTAAGCAAGGAAAATATTTTGTACTTAGGAGCATTTCAAACACTTCTCTTTCCAGAAAATTAGGGTATATTTAAAGGTATGTTTGGGTTCCCCTGCTTCTAGTATATATTGTTTGTTGTTTATTTTAAAGGAAACTTACTATAATGCAAAAAAATACTGAACTAAAAACAACCAAGTTTTAGTTTTATGTACCACAAATGATAGCTAGCAGTAGGGTCACTAATAAAGGTGTTTAAACCTCTGAGCCTTGGTTATCTTTAAAGGGAATGGCTTGAATCTGAATAGGAATGGCCAAAAATTCCAGCTTGTGAGCCAATTCTATTTTGTAGGTATCTGGGGAAACAGAATTAACAGAGATTAAAATAGGACATAAAGAATACATAGAAAACTAAATTTCTCTGTTGGATGAACAGTGGGCTCTTCATAGATTGTAGAGGTAGTCCTAATTTCTTATGGAAAGTGATGCTGTCACATTTAGATATGTTGAATTTGAGATTCTTGTGGAGCTCATCAGTAACCAGTCAGAAATATTGGCTTGGATTCAGAGATTTCTAAATAAAAACATTAATATATTAGATAGCAGTGAAAGAAAAGCCATAAGCTGGCAAGGAGCTTTCTTAACTGAATATGTGGGTGACAGTGGAAACAATTTTCCAAAGAGTAATTTGATTCTTTTTAGGTTATAGTCTTGAGCAGATTGTACCCATGTGTGTATTTAGCATTAGTAACCAACCAAATAATTACTGAGATTTTTATACCTCTGATACTTGCAGGCATACAATTTGGAGAGCTGGTCCACACCACCTTCACTTTTTTCAAAGAAATAGAGTCAGGGTTTTGTCATGTTGCCCAGGCTGGTCTTGAACTCCTGGACTCGAGGGATCTGCCCAGTTTGGCTTCCCAAAATGCTGGGATTACAGGCCTGAGCTACCAGGCCCAGCCCCACTTTCACTTTTAAAATTACAGCCAAACCTCTAGAACAGTGACTGCCAACTAGGGCAACCACCACCCCCTCTTCCCAATTATTGGTAATGTCTGAAGACACTTTTGGTTGTCCTAACAGGATGTAGGAGAGTTCTGGCACCTGGTGGGTAAAAGCTAGAGATGCTGCTGAGTATACTACAGTGCGCCAGAAAGGCACTTCACAACAAAGAATAATGTAACCCCAAATGCCAATGTTGAGATTGAGAAACGCTGCTGTAAAATCTAGGTGAGATGGAACTTACTAAAAGTAGTTTAGTAATTCCCTGAAATATTTGAGATCCTGCCCTAAGTCTTATAGTTTTATAGAAGAGTTAAGGTATAAAAATAAATGTTTGTAGCAGGGCAGAGGTGCCTTGTAAGGACAGAAACGGTAATATCGTTCATATGAGGTAGAAATCTCAGTGGGTGACAGGTTAAGACCTCCTGACCCAGTTAGTGTTGAAGCTGTGTGATAAATTTTGAATGGGCTTACTTTCAGGTTGAAGGACTTTATTTTCCAGAGGAATCACTCTTTCATGTAATTTACTGCAGGGTAAGAGTTTAGAAACATTGCTGCTAGCTAAGAAAAAATTACCTCCCTTCTAACCCCTTGACATTTGATCCTTACTAAAAGGACCATTTGATCCTTACTAAAAGATGCTTTGAGTTTTATGCAAATGAACCTTTATCAGTATATGTCAGAAAAATGTTTACCAATAGATCTCTCTCCCTTTTTTTAAAAGGTGACCTTGAGGGGTAAAGATCACTCCTTTGACAGAACGTGGTGTGACTGATCTTGTGCTACAATGGAAATTAATAGACATGGGCTTGATTCTAGCTTTATCCATAATTGTCTGTATAACTACAGGTACATTTGTCTCTTGGAGGTTTAGTTTCATCATCTGTAAAATGAAGGGGAAATAGATCCAGTCCAGATCAAATACTCGCACAACAAATGAACAGGCAGTTAAAATTATGTGCTACTCACTAAAGTATAAACAGGCTTTAAGCTTTCTCTAGACTTCATTTTCACTTTTTGTTATATAACTTAAAAAGTCACACTTTGAGCCTGGTGTGGTGATGTGGTGCCTGTAGTCCCAGCTGCTCAGAGTCTGAGACTGGAAGATCACTTAAGCCCAGGAGTTCAAGGCCACTGGGCAATATAGTGAAACCATCGTTCTTAAAAAAACTTTTTACGGAGACCCACTTTTGTGGAGTCATATCCCCATCTTGTGGCCTTTCAGAATATTGCTACTAAATGTTTTTACAATTATGAGCGTAATTGGCAATAAGTTAAATAGCTAAAAACATTTGCGTCCATATTATCTGACATTGCTGTGCCAAAATTTAGTGTGCATTATCTCGTCACACTGCTTGATTTATAGGCCAAGAGTAAAGTTTTCCTACTAGCATATTCTAAGCCCAGAAGTTACGTACATGAAATTACAATCTTGTGGCACAAATTAATAGCCAATGGGGGTCTATAGAGGCACACAAGTAACTGCATGTTTCACATTTAAGAACTTAGTATAAATTGTCTGTAGGCACTTTGGCAGTAGCTGTTTCTTACTTACATCACAGTCTGTCCCACTTTCAGTTCCTTAGTCTAAAAATTCTGGTATGAGAATGCCTTGGGGTTTGATTGTTATGGATCTGAAAAACAAGAAAAAGTAGCGTGTCACACCAATTTACTTGAGCTGAGAGAGTAATTTAGTTTATTTAATAACAACTGTCTTCAGTTTTCTACAGGTAGGGCCATAAACTCTACTGCCAACAGGGACCATGCAGATAAAGTAAATCAGTAAAGCAAGAGAAGCTGCAATTTGAGACTTTATATAAAATCGTTTAATTTAAATATTAGCATTGAACTTAACGTAAAAACCTGAAACAAAAAGGAAAAACTGAGTCAGGCCAGGGACGGTGGCTCGTGCCTGTAATCCCAGTACTTTCGGAGGCCGGGAATTCGAGACCAGCCTGGCCAACATGGCAAAACCCCATCTCTACTAAAAATGCAAAAATTAGTCGGGCATGGTGGTGGGCGCCTGTAGTCCCAGCTACTCGGTAGGCTGAGGCATGAGAATCACATGAACCTGGGAGGCGGAGGTTGCGGTAAGCTGAGATTGTGCCACTGCACTCCAGCCTGGGCTTCTGAGGGAGACTGTCTCAAAAACCAAACAAAAAACTTGTGGGTCAAACAGATGTGACCACATGGCTGATTTAACTCTTAGGCGGGCGATTTGTGTCTTATATGCAGAGTAAAGGTCTTAAACTGCTGATAAATTAAGGTAGTCTACATTGTTACGTTATATTACATTCTTACCAGAAGTAAGCAAACAATTTGTGATCCTTTGTGATCCTATAGCATAGTTTTTCCAATGACCCATTCTCTGTGTCCATCCTTAGCTCTTGTTTCCCTCACCAGATTTCTCAGATTTAGGAATTTACACACATGCAGTGGGAAATTTAATTTAGTTGGGTGTTAAATTTGGATGATGATTTACATAACAAACTTAATTACAAAAGTAAAGCTGCCAAGGTGGAATTTGAGAATCTGAATTTTTAACTGGCAGGATGATTCTGGTATATAACCAGGTTTGGGATTCATTCTTTGATTTTGTAACACTACTCTCCAGGTTTTTTCCTCCCTTCTCTTGAAAATCGTTTCTTAGACATCTTTGTAGGTTCCTGTTCTTTTACCTCTAAAATTCAAGTGTTTTTTATATTCTTTTCTTTGACCTTCTTCTTACTACAGACATCTTTGGTAGCCTGATATAGTCCCATAATCAAAGGTTATACGCTATGAACTAGTTATGTTTCAGGAAATAGCTGTCAAAGCGATATATTTTAAAAGAGAATTCTTTCATTTAAAAAATCCAAGTGCATTTCCCTTTACCACCTAGTTTTTAACACTTCAGTCTCATTGGGTAACTTTTAGACTGCATCATATAAATCATTTTTAAAATTGCTCGTTCATACCTTAAAAGCATTTGACACTAGTTTTGATGGGGGGGGAAAAACTATCAGAACATGTATTAATAGGTGTTTATTCCAAAGGCAGAGATGATAACAGACTGTCTGGACACTGCTGAAATTTGGAAGAGTGATCTGGTACCCAAATGGAAGGCTCACTCATTCAGCTCTCTTTCAATTTCTGTTCTATATAAACTGAAGCCTTGTACAGCTGGGGATTGAGAAATTATAGTGTATTAAAGGTTTGAAGGTCTTGCCTCCTTTTACTTGTTCATACAGTAAGAAATAAATGAGGAATCATTTACTTTCTACTTTGAGTTTTAATGTCAAGAATAACATGCCTGGAAAGTACTGCAGCTTGTTGTGCCTTACATAATGAGTAATGTTTGTATTTTATTTTACTTTTTGTTAGGGATTCTTTTTCAACTTTTAGGTACAGGGATTACATGTACAGGTTTGTTACATGGGTATGTTGCATGATGCTGAGGTTTAGTGTGCAATTGATCTTGTCACCTGGGTAGTGAGCATGATACCCAACAGGTAGTTTTTCACCTCTAGCCCCTCCCTCCCTTCTCCCTCTTCTCGTAGTCCGCAGTATCTGTTGTTCCCATCTTTATGTTCATGTGTACTATGTGTTTAGCTCCCACTTACAAGTGAGAACATGCAGTATTTGATTTTCTGTTACTTTAATTTACTTAGGATAATGGCTTCCAGCTGCATCCATATTGCTGCAAAGGATGTGATTTTGTTCTTTTTTATGGCTGTGTAGTATTCCATGGTGGATGTGTGGAAATCTTTAAACATTTATGAAATGAAACAGTAGAATGAGCCCCATCAATCAACTACAGTAAGTAGGATCGATTCCCATTTTATTTCGTCTTTGCCTGACCTATAATTTTCCCTTTTCACTGGGGCACTTCCAAAAGAAACTCTGGATGTATTATCCTTTTCCATCTATAAATGCTTTAATATTTAATATGAATCTTTTTTCTTTCTTTTTTTTTTTTTTGGAGACAAGTCTTGCTCTGTCACCAGGGCTGAAGTGCAGCGTTGCAATCTCAGCTCACTGCAACCTCTACCTCCCAGGTTCAAGCGATTCTCCTGCCTCAGCCTCCTGAGTAGCTGGGATTACAGGTGCGCGCCACCACACCCGGCTAGTTTTTGGTACTTGTAGTAGAAATGGGGTTTCGCCATGTTGGCCAGGCTGGTCTCAAACTCTCAAACTCAGGTGATCCACCCGCCTCAGCCTCCCAAAGTGCTAAGATTACAGACGTGAGCCACCATGCCTGGGCTTTAATGTGAATCTTTAACAGAGAAAGATTTTTTAAACAATTGCAATACTTTATATTATGATCTGATATCCAGTTTGTACTTAGTTTTTTTCTTGTGTGCTTCCATTTATATTAAATGTCTAGTAAAGACATTTGTGAAAAGAGAAAGTAGATTTAGTGGCTGTTTAGGGGTAGGTAAGGGGATTGATTGCAGATACACCTAAGGAATTTTGAGACTGTAATGAGAATGTTCCGAAACTGAATTGCAGTGACAGTTGCACAGCTTTATAGTAAAAAAATCACTGAACTGTGCATTTAAACCATGGTTTTTATGGTATATAAATTATACCTCAAGAAAGCTGCTTAAGAAAAAAAAAAATGAGGGGGATTTAAGAAAGAGGGAGTTCATACACCTAAATGTAAAACATCTAGAAGAAAACAAACTCTTTGTGATCTTGAGTTAAGCATATTTCTTGAATACAACTCAGAAATACAATCCATGAAATAAATTTGTCAAAATGTAAAACTCTCCCAAAAACAATAAGAAAATGAAAAAAGCCATAGACTGGTAAAAATTCTTTGCAACATACATAACTTACAAATGACAAGTATCCATAATACACCCAAAACTCAAGAAAAACCAGTTTTTAAAAAATTGACAAAAGATCTGAACTGATAGTTTATCAAAGATGATACATGAATGGCAAAGAAATACATGAAAAGATGCTCACTTCATTTATTATTTAGAGGCATGCAAATTAAAAACCACAATAAGTTGTCACTATATACCTGTTAGAAGAGCATAAATTTTAAAAGTTAATGCCAAATGCTGATGAAGATGCAAACCAGCTGGAACTCTTATGCACTTAAGACCCAGCATTCCCACTCCTAGGTATTTACTAAGAGAAATAAGAACTTATGTTCATACCAAAACCTATAGGTAAATGTTTATAGGAATTTTACTCATGATCTCCAAAAATTATAAATAGCCGCCTTTCAACAAGAGGATAAATTTACAGTACATCCACATAATGGACTACCATTCAGCATTAACAAGGAATGAGCTATTGATACGCACAACACTGTGGTGAGTCTCCGACATTATGTTAAATGAAAGAAACCAAACAAGCAGATATGTGATTCCATTTATGTGACATTCTTGAAAAGGGAAAACTATGGGGAACAGAAAAGAGATTAGGGGCTGCCTGGGAGTTGAACTTTAAAGGGTCATGTGGGAGGTTTGGGGAGTAATTAAATTATTGTATATTTTGGTAAGGGTTACATGATTATTTGTAAAAGCTCAGAACTATACACCACAAAGATAAATTTAGTTTTATGTAAGCTTTAAAAAGTTTTCTTTCCAAAAGCCAAGGGATCAATCAAAATTGATCCCCATAAAAGGCAGGAAAATGAAGAACAGTTAATACTTGGTACAAATAGAAAATGGCAAGCTGATGGACTTGAATCAACTAAATCAGTAATTCAATAATTACATTAAATCTTTTTTTGAACAATCTCGCTCTGTGACTCAGGCTGGAGTGCAGTGGTGCGATCTTGGCTCACTGCAGCCTCTGCCATTGGGTTCAAGCAATTCTGCTTCAGCCTCTCGAGTAGCTGGGACTAAAGGCACGCGCCACCACACCTGGCTAATTTTTTGTGTTTTTAGGAGACAGGGTTTCACCATGTTGGCCAGGCCGGTGTTGAACTCCTTGCTTCAAGTGATCCACCCAAGTCAACCTTCCAAAGTGCTGGGATTACAGGTGTGAGCCTCTGTGCCTGGCCCATTAATTTTTAACAGACCAGATATTCCAATTGTCAGATTAAAGGAATAAGATCCAACTATATGCTATTTACATGACACACACTTTAAGGACACAAGAAAATTAAAAAAAAAAAAAAAAAAGGTTAAAGAACATGAAACTTTGATTGGAAGGAAGCTGTAAGGCCAGGCCTGGTGGCTCATCCCTGTAATACCAGCACTTTGGGAGGCTGAGGCAGGTGGATTGCTTGAGTTCAGGAGTTCAAGACCAGCCTAAGCAGCATGGTGAAATCCTGTCTCTACCAAAGATACAAAAAAATAATAATAATTAGCTGGAAGTGGTGGCATGCATTTGTGGTCTCAGCTACTTGGAAGGCTGAGGCACGAGGATCCCCTGAGCCCGGAAGGCAGAGGTTGCAGCGAGCCAAGATTGTGGTACTGCACTCTAGCCTGGGCAACAGAGTTGAGACCCCCATCTCAAAAAAAAAAAAAAAGAAAAGAAAACTGTGTGTATTGATGAACAAAGTAGACTTTAAAACAAGGAGTATTGCCAGCAAAAAGGAGGGATATTTCAAAATGATCAAAGGGTCATATTATCTACAGTAGTCCTAAATGTTTATGCCCTTGCTAACATAGTTTGAAAATACCTGAAACTTTCTATTTATTGATTGAATGAAACAGCAAAAAGGAAGAAACACTTCCAAACTTTCTTTGAGGCCAACATAACCCTGATACGAAAATGTATCAAGAATATTACAAGGGCTAGGTGCAGTGGCTCACACCTATAATCCCAACACTTTGGGAGGCCAGGGTGGGCGAGCCTATCTCTTGAGGCCGTAAGTTCAAGACCAGCCTGGCCAACATGGTGAAACCCCGTCTCTACAAAAAATACAAAAATTAGTTAGGAACGGTGGCACATGCTTGTAATGACAGCTACTTAGGAGGCTGAGGCAGGAAGATTGCTTGAACCCAAGAGGTGGAGGCTGCAATAAGCTGAGATTGCACCGCTACACTCCAGCCTGGGCAACAGAGGGAAACACTGTCTCAAAAAAGAAAGAAAGAAAGAAAGTGTGTCAGGGTAAGCCTTTTTGAGATACCATTTGAACAAAGACTTGAAGGAGTTAACATATTCTGCAGCCAAGGATGGAGAGGCCATCAATTGACAGGAAATACTGCAAGCAAAGCAGATTTTGGAACGAAGATTTGAAATTGTTTGCAGTATGTTCACTTTGAAGTGTCTGCTGGAGATGGCTTGGATCTAGGAGTGTAGAGTTCAGGAGTGAACTATAGGCTAGAGACAGAAATTTGGAAATTTGGCAGCATTAAAGCCACAGAACTACAAGATTGAGTGAGATCAAGAGAATAAGTATAGAGAAGATAACCAAATGCGCCGATATACGAGGCCCTCATAAAATTGGTTCTTTTTCAGCTTCCACGTTTGTACACAAGCACACTTGATGTTTTAGCCATATCAAACTGACTAGTTTTCGGACTACATCATTGCTATTTTGTTCATGTTTTATTAGACTGCGTCTATTGCCCTTCCACAGGATAAGCTATCATTCTTCAAAATGTTTCCCATTGTCACCTTCATTCTGGTATTATTTTTGTACTATATGTACATACAGTGTTAGTAGCACATTGTATATACCTGTCTTTCCTACCAAATGTAAACAAACACCTTTGCATTCCAGATGCATAAGACAGATATTCAAATATTTATTGAAATAGAATTGACTTATGCTTTAAATAGGCAACTCTATTATGTTTGTAAGAACTTTAGAAAAATTTAGATTCACAGAATTCTTAAAATCTCCATTAGATTAGTTTTTTAATAGAGACTTTAGACTTTCTTTTAACTTAATTTTTTATAAGCTATTTTAACTAAAAGCTTTTTGGTTGTTTACATTCAAGTAATATTATCATTTTCTTGACATGTCTACATATCCGTTACATATGCTTATGCCTTTTTTTTTTAACTACATGTTCCTTGCTAACTTATATTTACAAGTTGATTATATTACTTTGATATATTTAGAAAATCCACGTCTTAAAATAATTTGGAGCTAAGTGATCAGGATTACAGAAGTATTCCATTTCAGTCAGACATATCATGTTAATGAGAGTTAAACTATATTTGAAGCTTAGTTTTGCTGACAAGGTTACATTAAGTGAACATTTTGAAATTGTTCTAGCATATTTTTTCTTGCAAAAATCAAATTAATTTCTCTGAAACAGCTTAATTTTTCCAATAGCTACCAAACAATATTTATATCTCAAATTTGTCTAAAGCGTGTGTGTATGTATATACACATAACACACGTATATATACGCACATAGAAAAATATGGGAAGACTATCAACAAACTTATTTCTGGCCATGTTATGGCAGGATATTTTCCCTTTCTACGTCATTTCTATGGTGTGCCTTTTTAAAAAAACAAAAAAAGACATGTATTGTTTTAATTAGTTAGGGAAAGATTAAGCTGCCTATTCCCTAATGGTTCAATATTGTTTTCTGTATTTAGGCTTTATCTGGCCACCCTGATGGAAACTTTTTTTAGTAGCTAACTTTTATTAGACTCAATCTAGCACAGTGCACTATAACCACTTTTTCTTCTTGTACGAAGTCAAGAAATACCTGGTATTATTCTTTCAAAATTATAAATGTGCTTGAAGCCTAGTTATTATTAGCTACAGATGATTCCTAAAATTTTAAAAACCTCAAGTTCTTTCATTTATACTTTAGAAGCTTGCTTTATGGGTTCTTAAGTTACTATTATTATTCATACTTAAACTTCATAATGTAATTTTAAATCACTTTTTAAATACTAAGACTCTTTTTTTAGTGATGTGCTCTAAATTAATATAAACCCTATGTAAAAAAAATTACACCCAACTTGTGGCACTGTGGTAAGTTAAACAGCAGACAATGTAGGTAAGATGTGATCCCTGTCAGCTACAGCATTTTTAAAAGATCCTGTATTTTGGCCAGGCACAATGGCTCATACTTGTAGGCCCAGCACTTTGGGAAGCCGAAGTGGGCGGATCACTTGAGCTCAGGAACTGTAGACCAGCCTGGGCAACATGGTGAAACCTTGTCTCTGCAAAAATTCAAAAATTAGCTGGGCGTGGTGGCATGTGCCTGTATTCTCAGCTGCTTGCCAGGCTGAGGTGGGAAGATCACGTGAGCCTGAGAAGTGGAGGCTGCAGTGACCTGTGATTATGCCACTGCACTCCAGCCTGGGCAACAGAGCAAAACCCTGTCTCAAAAAAAGAAAAATAAAGGATCCTATATTTTACAGAATTACAGTATCCCCAGAATTTTTTTTTTTTTCTTTTTTTTTTTTTTTGAGACGGAGTCTTGCTTTGTCGCCCAGGCTGGAGTGCAGTGGCACGATCTTGGCTCACTGCAGCCTCTGCCTGCCAGGTTCACTTGATGCTTCTGCCTCAGCCTCCCGAGTAGCTGTGACTACAGGCGCATGCCACCACACTGGGCTAATTTTTGTAGTTTTAGTAGAGACAGGGTTTCACCATATTGGCCAGGCTGGTCTCAAACTCTCGACCTTGTGATCTGCCCTCCTTGGCCTCCCTTTTTTTTTTTTTTTTAAATGTGAATGGTAGATAGTGGGGAAAGTGAGCCCGGTAGATTTTAGTCAGAAAAGTGTTATGAAGAGGGGGAATTCTGTCAATGAGATGTAATCTACTTAAAGAAAACATGAATTTCCTACAGGGAATTCATTATAGTTGTCAAATATTTGGGATAAGAAAAGGCTATGTGGCTAAAAGTTGGAAGAGACTATAACAAGAAAATCTCTATTTTTTTTATTTTATTTATTTAACCTCTATGGTGCTGAGGGGTTTTTTAAATATATAAATCTCTTACCCTTTTACTAACATGTTTGTTTATTTAATCTGTGTGGTTGCTAAGAAACTATGTTCAGATTTTAGGAAGACATACAAGACATGCAAAGATCATTGGTTGCAACAAATAATACAGATTAGTGGTATAAAAATTAAATAATCAAGGCAGGACCGCTAAATGAGCTAAGCCTTTCAAAACTGCTAAGTATGGCAGGAAGAATGCTTTATGCTGTCTTTTGTGTTCTTCATACAGACTACTTAAATAGGGGGTAAAGTCTCCTGTTTTTGCCTAACTCCTTAGCAAGCAGAATGTTCTCCAAACTGGGCATTATGGAGTAATACATCTTAGAGAACTTTGTACTATCAGATAAAATATTATATCATATTCCTCTCTATCCAGATAAATCAACTTTAGAAATTTCTTTTTTTATCTGTAATTGTTGCTGTTTTTTGTTTTGTTTTTGAGACAGTCTGTCACCCAGGCTGGAATGCAGTGGTACACAATCAGCTTACTGCAGCCTCGACCTCCCAGGGTCAAGCAATCTTCTCACTTCAGTCTTCTAAGTAGCTGAGACCTTAGGTGCAAGCCACCACACCTGGTTAACTTTTTTAAAAAAATTTCTGATAAAGTTTTGCTATATTGCCCAGGTTGGTCTTGAACTCCAGGGCTCAAAGGATCCTCTTACCTCGGCCTCCCAAAATGCTGGGATTACAGACCTTTATGCCCAGCTGTTTCTTTGTTTTTGTTTTTTCTTTTTTTTGTTTTTTTGCTTTTTAATCTGAATTTTAACATTTCAAAATACAGTTTTTAAAATTACAATTTCTGGGCTGGGCACAGTGACTCATGCCTGTAATCCCAGCACTTTGGGAAGCCAAGGCAGGCAGATCACCTGAGGTCGGGAGTTCAAGACCAGCCTGACCAACATGGAGAAACCCCATCTCTACTGAAAATACAAAATTAACTGGGCATGGTGGCACATGCCTGTGACCCTAGCTACTAGGGAGGCTGAGGCAGGAGAATCGCTTGAACCTGGGAGGTGGAGGTTGCAGTGAGCCGAGATCGCACCATTGCACTCTAGCCTGGGCAACAAGAGCAAAACTGTGTCTCGAAAAAAAAAAGAATTACAATTTCTACTACACATTAAAATCCTTTCAAGCATGTTTCTGTATATGTTAACAAAAGTCCGTTGTGTTTTTTTGTTTTGTTTTGTTTGTTTGTTTTGAGACGGAGTCTCAAACTGTCACCCAGGCTGGAGTGCAGTGGCGCCATCTTGGCCCACTGCATGCTCCGCCTCCCGGGTTCATGCCATTCTCCTGCCTCAGCCTCCTGAGTAGCCAGGACAACAGGCGTCCACCACCACGCCCAGCTAATTGTTTTTGTATTTTCAGTAGAGATGGGGTTTCACCGTATTAGCCAGGATGGTTTCGATCTCCTGACTGCGTGAGCCACTGCGCCCCGCCCAGCAAAAGTCCGTTGTTAAATATGGTTGAAATGTGCTTTTTCTCCACAAAACAATATACTACAGTATCTTTTTTGGGCAAATAATACAGATGGAGTAAGAAAATTGTAGAATGCTGTCAGGTTTGCCTTATCACATTTGATCTGCCTTTAATAGTAGTGAAGTTCACTTCAGCTATTAAAAATTGTTTATAGCTCTGCAGGCAAAACAACTTTGATTCTTTGTTAAAAGTTAGAACTGAAAACTTTTTAGCTTTAATCTTCTTTTCCATGGAACCAATTGTTTAGATTACAGGTGGTTTCTTAGAATGCTCCTTTTATTAGTCCTTTCTCACGCTGCTAATAAAGACATAGCTGAGACTGGGTAGTTTATAAAGGAAAGAGGTTTAATTGACTCACAGTTCCGCAAGGATGGGGAGGTCTCAGGAAACCTATAATCATTTTGGAAGAGGAAGCAAACACGTCATTCTTCACGTGGTGGCAGGAAGGAGAAATGAGAGCGAAGCGAAGGAAAGGTTCTTTATAAAACCATCAGATTTTGTGAGAACTCACTATCACGAGAACAGCATGAAGGCAACTGCCCCCATGATTCACCAGGTCTGTCACATGAAGTGGGAATTATGGGAGCTGCAAGATGAAATTTGGATGGGGACACAGCCAAACCATATCACTCCTGTTGCTTTCTTAATGGATAGTTTTCATACTGGGGTGGTTTTCAAAATGTGGATTCCTTTGTTTCGTTCCAGCAACTCTGGTTCTGAGAATGGGGTATGTGTGTCCAGGAATGTGAATTTTGAGTATCGCCTCTGTGACTCTGATGTAGGTAGTTCATAGACCACGGTTTTCAATGAATAGAATGTGCATGGTATTGCATACTTCCATTGTTTTCTTAGAATAAATTACTAGAAGTAAGATACTTGGACAAAGGAACTGTAATGTTATCAGAAATAGGTATATCTAAATTTTTCTGAACTATAAACTACAAGGAAAATTTTGACACTTGTAGAATGTTATTCTAGCCTTTGTAGTAGTTGTTGTGTGCCATATTTGTCCCTAAATGTGCGTAATTGTATGAAAGCTATGAGTAGAATTTGTATTGAATGATGTCAAAATTTGCTTATAAATGGTAATTTGCTTATAAATCAAGTCTGAAAGAGTTGGATTTATCAATCATGTAAAAAAGACTTGGTTCCCCTTTCATATGTTCATTTTAAAAATGAGGCTAATTATGTATTATTGAGTACATTTTGATTTGTTCCAGTAGCCGGATCGAGCTGGGAGATGTGACACCACACAATATTAAACAGTTGAAAAGACTGAATCAGGTCATCTTTCCAGTCAGCTACAATGACAAGTTCTACAAGGATGTGCTGGAGGTTGGCGAGCTAGCAAAACTTGGTATTACATGGTTTTTTTTTTTTTTTCCTCCCTTTTCCTTCTTTCTGTTCTTGAGCCCTATTTTTTAGAGAGCAGAAAGAGTTAACTAATTTAGTTTGCTTATTTTGTAAGTGAGGAAATGGGAGTGGTCTAGGTTGGGAGAAAAATCTCAGAAATCAGTTGAATAAAATAGTTGAATTTTAAAAAGAAATGCTTAATGTTCTTATTTAGTGTATGCCTGTGTGTTTTCACTTTTTAAGCTATACTGGAGGAGGCTTAAACTTCCTAAAATGGCATAAGAGCTTTGAGGTCATTGATATTCATGAGATAGTTCATGAAATTTAATGTTGATAGGAACAATGTAGTCCTTTAAAAGGGAAAAAGATTAAATAAAATGTGTTACTCTGTCTGTTCAACATTATATCTTTATATTTTCCTTGGCAGCCTATTTCAATGATATTGCTGTAGGTGCGGTATGCTGTAGGGTGGATCATTCACAGAATCAGAAGAGACTTTACATCATGACACTAGGATGTCTGGCACCTTACCGAAGGCTAGGAATAGGTAAAAAATTGTGGGTTTTTTTACTTCTTCAGAGAGGCATAAACATATTCTTTGTTAATGTGTCTGACCTAGTAAGTTAATTTGGGTCTTTTTAAGGAATACTGAGAAAGGGTTACTGAATTATGTAAAATATGGTGAGAAATAACTAATGTTTGTTAACATAATTCTGCTGGAATCCCTACATAGATTTGCTATTTACGTCCCCTTCTGCTTTTTCTGTTTTTCTTCTACCTGGAAGTGCTTGTTTAAAAAGGTTAGTCTTCTGTTAACAGTTTTAAACATATGTAGCTATTGTAGAGAGAGAACACAACTTTGGAAAATAAGAATAGTCTATACCTCATAAATTCTATTAGGACCCAATAAGTAGTTCAGATGGCAGGTGGATAGATACATAATTTAAAGGTTGATTTATGAAGTCACATGTTATTTGTTTTATTAACAGGAACTAAAATGTTAAATCATGTCTTAAACATCTGTGAAAAAGATGGTACTTTTGACAACATTTATCTGTAAGTAAATTAATATTTTATGTTCTTATCAGAGGGGTTTAATAAGTTGGCAGGAGAAATCTTGACTAGAAACTTTAAAATCTGGTCACTTATTGTGCCTTTGGAAACACTGTGGAAGTAGTTGTTACAAAGTATTCGAGTAGTTGTTTTGTTTAGTTTTGTTTTATTAATAATAGTAGATTAGGGACCTGAGATAGAACACATTGCTTTATTATATTAGGATGAGAGCTCCAAAATCATAGGGAGGAAATCAGGATTAAAACTCAGGCCTTGGCCAGGCGCAGTGGCTCACACCTGTAATCCCAGCACTTTGGGAGTCCGAGGCAGGCGGATCACAAGGTCAGGAGATAGAGACCATCCTGGCTAACACAGTGAAACCCCGTCTCTACTAAAAATATTTAAAAAATTAGCTGGGCATAGTGGCGGCCGCCCATGTCACAGCTACTCGGGAGGTTGAGGCAGGAGAATGGCGTGAACCCGGGAGGCGGAGCTTGCAGTGAGCTGAGATCACGCCACTGCACTCCAGCCTGGGAGAGAGAGCGAGACTGCATCTCAAAAAAAGAAAAAACTCAAGTCTTCAGAATTCAAAACCATTAATACTACTTTTCTCGTGCATAACCTTGTGTGTTTTGTTCAAGGCTATGTTGGATAGCCTTGAACATTGTAGTAGATCATTTGTAGTAGAGTTTAATAATCAAAATCATAGATTACCTAGCTGAGATTATACTTGAATCTCAAGAGGCTGTACATAAAGAGCTATGACTAAGATCACAGTCATGGATGTTCATAATTTAGTTTGGCTGTGAGATGCTGAATTATACAGTGTTATTTTTGGGAGTAATTGAGAAAGCTTGCATTTTTAATTTTTAAAACATACCATGTTTTTTATCAATCAGAAGGAAGATATATCTTCAAGCTTTGAGACCCTAGTTTTTTATTTTTCATCATTATTTTCTGTGTGTTAATAGGGCCTTTTAATAATTTATCCTCTTAAAATGAAAAAATTTTGATAGCTGTGGTACTTTTCCATTTGTTGACTATAAGAATAAACACTGTGAGCCTTCTAATCTTAACCAGCTGTCTTACAAATGTAAAAATTAGATTAAAAGTGTAAAATTGGGCCAGGCGCAGTGGCTCACGCCTGTAATCCCAGCACTTTGGGAGGCCAAGGCCAGGCAGATCATGAAGTCAGGATATCAAGACCATCCTGGCTAACACGGTGAAACCCCATCTCTACTAAAAAATAGAAAAATTAGCTGGGCTTGGTGGTGGGCGCCTGTAGTCCCAGCTACACGGGAGGCCGAGGCGGGAGAATGGCATGAACCTGGGAGGTGGAGCTTGCAGTGAGCCAAAATCACGCCACCGCACTCCAGCCTGGGCGACACAGAGAGACTCCGTCTCAAAAAAAAACTGTAAAATTGTCATCAAAAGCTTTTAGGTAAGCATGCCTAACCTTTGTTGATTAGTGGTAATTGTAAAGAGAATGTAACAAATGTGCAGCATTCTAGCTCCAACCAATTTGGAGCTATCTGTGGAGAATGCTTAAAACTTGATGAAACCTTAATTTTAATTTTTTTCTGATACTCTCTTATACCTCAGGCATGTCCAGATCAGCAACGAGTCGGCAATTGACTTCTACAGGAAGTTTGGCTTTGAGATTATTGAGACAAAGAAGAACTACTATAAGAGGATAGAGCCTGCAGATGCTCATGTGCTGCAGAAAAACCTCAAAGTTCCTTCTGGTCAGAATGCAGATGTGCAAAAGACAGACAACTGAACAAATTACAAATGAACTTTCTTGCACTTGCTTGTCGCCAAATAAAAGAGAGGCCCATTGATACCCCCTCCCCCAACACTTTTCTTTTAAAGCTTTTCTCCCTCCTTGTTCTTGTTTTTCTTTCTTCCTTTCCTTTTCTCTAAGAGTTATAATACTTTGAAGGACTTCAAAAAAATAATCATGTTTGAATTGTTTTCTCTTATTTTTGTGAGGTGGTTTGAAGGAAGGAGAAGGTAGATCTGTTTAATTTTGCAGTTAAAGCTAGATGGTCCTAAAAATTTAATTGTCAAATTTCAAATTTAATGTCCTGCTTTCACATTGAAGGGCAGAGCCTACAAAACATTGTATATTTCAAAAGACAAAAAGAAGCAGCAGCAATATCTTGTTCTCTAATGCATAGACTAGTTGAGTGTGTTTGTGGTACTTTGGGTTTTTTAAGACTGGGATACTAATCCCTAGACGTTGCCTTCACTCCACCTTTAGTCCTTCTGAGCACTCTCTCGGGAGTTGAACATCGTTATCCTTGTAAGAAATACTAAGCTTATTTTGATTTTTAAGCAATTATATCTTCTCTTCTTGCTGGTGGGTGGGGCAGTTTGGTTTAGTGTTATACTTTGGTCTAAGTATTTGAGTTAAACTGCTTTTTTGCTAATGAGTGGGCTGGTTGTTAGCAGGTTTGTTTTTCCTGCTGTTGATTGTTACTAGTGGCATTAACTTTTAGAATGTGGGCTGGTGAGATTAATTTTTTTTTAATATCCCAGCTAGAGATATGGCCTTTAACTGACCTAAAGAGGTGTGTTGTGATTTAATTTTTTCCCCTGTTCCTTTTTCTTCAGTAAACCTGACAATAGTCTAACCTTAAAAATTGAGTTGATGTCCTTATAGGTCACTACCCCTAAATAAACCTGAAGCAGGTGTTTTCTCTTGGACATATTAAAAAGTACCTAAAAAGAAGCTTAGATGGACTGTGACACAATAAATTCAATTAATGTCATCTAATGCCAGCTGTTAAAAGTGTGGCCACTGAGCATTTGATTTTATAGGAAAAAATAGACAGTATTTTTCAGAATAACATAGCTGTGCTATTGCATATCTGTTGGAGAACATCCCAGATTTGCTTATACTCAGTGCCTATGATATTGAGTTTAAGGATTTGAGGCAGGGGTAATTATTAAACATATTGCTTCTATTCTTGGAAAAGTAGAAGTGTAAAATGTTAATAATACAAATGTCACTGTGACCTCCTCCACTGAGAGGACTGGTTTATGCCAGATCATTTTCTGGCACATAGAGAGTGGCTTTGACAGGTTGATAACTTTGTAAGATGGGAGACATCTGAAATATTCATGTTTTCCTCTTATAGTCCCATCTCCACTATTTAGAAATGTTCTCAGACTTTGAAATAATGCACAGGGCTTGAGCTTTCTGTCATTTGACTTTGAAAGGAAGTTTCATTCATATTTATCCTCTTGTGTAAAATTCTAGTATAAAGTCTCATCTCCAAATATGTTAAATGACAAAATTATTTTATAAAATGTTTATGCACACTTTATCACCTTAAGTTTTTATTTGAGAATGTGAAAGTACAAGGTGCAGTAGACTTCAACAATCTTGAGTGCCAAGAAAAATACAGAAAAAGAAGACAGTTGATGAATGCGTTTATAGGTTTCTAATCTTAAGATGGTAAAAATGTAGAAAGACCTTGCTGGTTTTTTGAGAGTATTCGTTTCTTAAAACAATCCAAATCTAAGCTTAGAAGAAAAGTTTAGCATTAAGCTCATTTATCTTCATGGATAAGCTTCAGCTTGCTCTTGGCAAGAGAAGAGTGCTTGAGTTACAGAAAGCATAATTAGTTTGAAGAATGCAGCAGCCTTTTTGTAAACTTCCCAGATATCAAAATCGACTTTGATATATAAATGGTTTTCTGAGATGACACTGCCTCTATTTCTATAACCATTTCACCTGGACTATCTAATCAGTCCTATGAATGTATCCCTAAATGTGGTTATTGAAAACCGAATAGCTGCCTCATGACAAGTATGTGTTATTTAAGGAGGAAAAAATATTAAATTTTGAATTGAGTGTGTAGGCTCCCTATCATTATATAGTTTCTTTTTCCATGGTAGTCAGTGACTTAACCTAAATTGTAAATGTTTGTAAAGGGTTAATTGTCCTACATCAAACTTATGTTAAATAATTCCATCCACTTATGGAGGAGGAGGAGAATGTGGAAGAGGTAAAAAGCTGGGCACAAGTTCATATGCCTATGAGTCAGTAAAGACTGAAGTAATGTCCTATGTTGAGCTGGTTATTTTGATATATGATAATTATCTTTAGAACAATTCTGTTAACTGGAAAATCACAGGATATATCCATCATATTTTTCAGGACAGATAGTTTTTACTGTGGGGCAAATAGGTTAAAATTACACTGTATGGTAGTTGCATTTAGGTTTTAAAGCAAAGAATCTGTAGAGAAATCTATGCAATATATAGTTTGTCCAGATTAGCTTTCGTTTGGGGAATGAAGTTCTGAAATATCTAAAGCAGTTTACTCATCAGTTGAAAAGTCCTCCAAAAAGAGAACTATTGGGAAACCATGGTGTGTGGTGGTGGAAAAGAAAAGCTCCCTCAGTTTTTTGGAGGGAATAACTTAAAAAAAAAAATACTTAAATGGCTAAGTTTTCTTGGTGCAGTTAAGAATTAAACTTGTCAATTTTAACATTGCTGTTACATCTGAAATAAACTTATGTGATGTTCTGGTAGTGAGCTGTGATATCTATAAATGTCAAAACTGTATTGTTGAATTCTGCAGCCAGCAACTGTACATACTCATTGTGTAGTGTTTCCCTTACTGCTTTTATTTGCTTTCACATTTCTTTAAGATCTAATTTTAAAATCATTAAAATAGGCCAGGTGTAATTAAGGCATCCTAATTCAGATCTTCTGTGACTTGCTAGGTACTGCCCAATGTCTACAATTCAGTTCCAGTAAGAGGGAAAAAACAAGATCCAAGGAACTGTCTTGCTGCTATATTCTTAATGTAATTGTTAGAAATACTTGACACTTCAGGCTGCAATCTGTTTAGTAATGTGTATTGGCTACAGATAACATATTCAGGTGTTTTGGTTTTTTTCCTTGTAAGGAAGGAGTATAGTAGTTCAATGAGTTGGGAATTGGCTTTTAACCTTTTTCCTGAATATCAAACATGAATTTAATATTTTTTCTTTAACGGAATTAATTCAGTATTTAATATTTCTAGTCAAAATTGTTATAATTAGGGTTTTGCTTTTTTCACTTAAGAAACAATGGGTGATCCTTGTCTAGTGTGTCTTAGTTATTACTGTAGTTTAAAACAAGTATTATCTTCCACAGTTCTGGATCAGGAATCTAGGAGCTGCTTAACTGGGTGGTTCTGTCTTGAGATCTCAGAAGGTTGCAGTCAAGCTGTTAGCCAGGACTGTACCATCTTGAAGCTTGACAAGGCTAGAGGAGCCATTTTCAAGATGTCTTGCTCACGTGGCTCTTGGGCTTCAGTTCCTCACTGTGTGGGTATCATCATGGGGCTGCCTGATGGACAACTGGCATGTGGCTTCCCCCAAAGGTGATACAAGAAAGTGAGCAGAAGCCACACTCTTTTATGATGTAGCCTCAAGTGACATAATTTCTGCCGTATTCCATTAGTCACACAGACCGACCATTGAATCACTCTGGTATAGTGTGGGAGGGGACTACACAAGGATGTGAATACTGGGAGGTGGATGTCATGGGGCCCTCTAGGAGACTGGCTGTCACTGCTCAGAGAAGATACTGGGCTTTGTTGACTCCCAAGGTCAGGGTAGTTTTGGTGAGGTTGTGTTTTATTAGTCTCTAAAAGGAGTAGTTTTCTAAATGAGGGTTAGAAAGCACTGCACTTTACAATTAGGATATAAAAGAAATAGAGAGTGGGCCTAAAGGCTGTGCTCTTGTGATTGGGTTTTCAGTGGGGAAGGGAGACAAGGCTGTCTCAGACTGACGCTGTTCTCACTGAGTGATTTGAATATTTCTGGGAAATTGGATACTACAGTCACAAATAGGAACAGTAAGCCTGTAGAAATTTTTCAGGGAGTAAATATTTTCTATGGCAGTGTCCTGAATTGGTTCTCCCTTGCAAGACTGAACTGTAGGAACTTAGTCCTAGTTTATGATACAGCCAAATAACATAGTCATATGGGAAAAAGGGTTTGAGTCAGATTTCTTAATGTATGTGTAGTTAACTTGGTAGAACATTGAGAACTATCAAGTCAGACAACAATCTGTTACTGGGGCAGAAATTCCCAACCTTTTCAGTTCTCCAAAATTTAAGATAACTTGATTTCTTAGGTAAAATGTTTTTGTTTTGGCAACAGAGTCTCACTCTGTCGCCCAGGCTGGAGTGTAGTGTGGCACGATCTTGGCTCACTGTAACCCCCACCTTCCAGGTTCAAGCAATTCTGCCTCAGCCTCTCAAGTAGCTGGGACTACAAGGCACATGCCAACATGCCCGGCTAATTTTTTGTATTTTAGTAGAGACGAGGTTTCACCATGTTGCCCAGGCTGGTCTGGAACTCCTGAGCTTAGGCAATCCGCCTGCCGCGGCCTCCTAAAGTGCTCGATTTCAGGCGAGCCACCGCGCCTGGCCAGTAAAATGTTTTCTATCTGGAATGAATCGAGGTCTTTCCCTTGCTCAGTAGCTTCTAGAAGAAGAAAAAATAGCATCAAGATCTGATTCAGAAATAGTTGGGAGCAGAAAGTTAATATGAAGGAGTTGCTACTTGTTAACAGCCTAGCGTTTAGATCTAGAAGAATTATTACCTTTTTAAATTTGTAATGAAAGCTTAAATTCAGCATTTGGGAAGTTTACTCTTGGCTGGAATATTTTGGAGTTTGTAAACAGTGTGTTAGATATTCCTGATTTAACTGAAACTAATTTGCCACATAGATTTAATTTCATTCCAGTTTTACTTGTTTTATTTACTGTCCTCAAAAACTCAAGACATCTGAAAGGATCTAAGCAGTATAAATTAAAGCACATATTGAATCGCTGCTTTCATAGGACATCTGATTATAATGCTTTTCTTTGTTGCTTTGTCCATACTGAACTTGTCTAGTTTATCTTTGAGAAACCATTTGCTAGTATCAAAAAGTCTTCTGTAAAGATTTGAACAATCTTGAGTTATCCTTGTCACTAGCAATCTCTTCCCCTAAAGTATAATAAAACTGTCAGGTACTGTATGTGTAATTACTTATGCAGGTGAAATTTGAATACACAGTAAAACCCAGTTCTCTTAGTAAGATGAGGGCTTTGTTGTAGCACCTTTAAAACAGTTTTACAACATCCTTCATTCTTATCACCTTCCTAAGTTAGAAATGATCTTCCTTTAGTGGATATAAAAGTTGTATGTTGTTTCTACAAACTTATTGGGTGCCTACTATTCTGAGCTCAGGATATAGCAGTGAGCAAGGCAAATAATGTCTGTGACCTCATTAAATAAAGGTAAGTAAAATTCTAGTTGCAGAATTCATGTCTAAGTGAAGGTCATCCTCTTTACTAAAATGAATCAGCTCCTTCAAGGATCTTGATTTTACCTTAATTTTGAATTCCCTATATTGACTTGTTTTCTCTTACATTGGCTCCAATACAAACAAAAAGCCTTAATTCCTATAGGAGAACTGAGACTTAGAAGTGGGAAAGGGAGTGCAAAAGAGATATAAGTTCAGAATGTATACAGGAGAAACAATGTAACATTGTAGAGGTTCTTTTTTTTTCTTTGAGACGGAGTCTCTCATTCTATGACCCAGGATGGAGCGCAGTGGTGCAATCTTGGCTCACTGCAACCTCCGCTATCTGGGTTCAAGCAATTCTCCTGTCTCAGCCTCCTGAGTAGCTGGGATTACAGACATGCACCACCATGCCCGGCTATTTTTTGTATTTTTTGCAGGGACGGAGTTTCACTATGTTGACAGGCCTTTTCTCAAACTTCTGACCTCAGGTGATCCCAAGGTGCTGGGATTACAGGCATGAGCCACTGTGCCCAACCTAACATTGTAGAGGTTCTGATTCCATCATATGTAGCTTGTGTCTGTGGACTCATGCAGCTTATCTCATTCTAAATGGCCTTTTTCATGCTACAGTTTAAAAAACAGACTAGCTCAGCTCTGGTGACATCTCAACTAGAGATCGTATCATCAGACAAATGAGTGACCTACTTCACAATTTGACCTTTTGCATCGGGATCCAAAGAGTAAATTCTTTCCTTCATTTTAGTTTCTGATTAACAGTTTTTCCCCAGATGATGTACTAGCAATGACCTCCCTCTGGGGACTTGATTCAGTTTGTTTCACATATAAGCAAATCTGTATGACCTTGGTTACAATTATCTGCAAGTATCCTGATTCTGTGTCTGTCTTGCTTTGTTACAGTTACAACACTGCTAACTCCTTCAAGTGTAACTTCCACAACTGCTCAGTGCCTACTAGCTTGGTCTTTTCTTGCCAAACCTTTCTTCCTCTTTCCCTACATAGAAATGTCTAGAGTCCCTTCACAGCAAATGGAAGTTTAGCCTATATTATGTACCCTGGGACAAGTTTAGAATGTGGTTCCTGGATTATCACAATCATTGACAAAAGAAAAAAAAAAAAAGGTGCTCCTTGTAACTTGCAGGGCATAGTACACTGGCTTACCTGAAATTTGGTCATAGAATGTACTCATAAGAGATCAAGTGCTGACAGTGAAAAAGATGAGTATGGCCCTTACCTGGAGATGCTTAGCAGTCTAGTAGAAAACATTTTTTTCAATTCCCATGAGATACTGTGTTGAGATGAGAGGTATAAATTTACAGAATTTTGAAGAAGACTTAATTAGTTTTGAGTTTGGTTCTATTACTACAAACAAAATGAGTAATTATTGTGTCATATGGTTATCTAGACATCTAAGAGTGAACAAAAATGATAAGTGTGCTTAGAGAATTAAATATCTCTACTGAGGTATGGTAGCGCCACAGGAAAGGTGTGTCCTGTAGCAGATATCAGATAATTTAGCTATTGGAAAAATAATCTAGGACCGAAGTAATTGATCAAAACAAAAATGGGGTAAATAATTGAACGTGTAACCCAACGCCAGAGCTTTGCAAATTTATAAGAATCACAATGCTTAAAAAAAATAGATCTAATGTATGCATTTAAAAGGACAAAAATTCTGCATTAAGAACTTGGGAGAGGGGTTAAAAAACTCAAATTTGACTCTAAAGAGCTCCTATTCTAAGAAAAGCATTGCGGTATTTTGATAATGAAAAGATCAAAAAAATTCTAATAGTTTTTTAAAATATGGCTTTACTTTTGCCTAATGTTGCATTGGGTTCATTCATTACAATAAAACTTACTGGCCGGGCGCCGTGGCTCACGCCTATAATCCCAGCACTTTGGGAGGCTGAGGCGGGTGGATCAACCTGAGGTCGGGGGTTCAAGACCAGCCTGACCAACATGGAGAAACCCCGCCTCTACTAAAAACAAAATTATTAGCCAGGCATGGTGGCGCATGCCTGTAATTCCAGCTACTCATGAGGCTGAGGCAGGAGAATCGCTTGAACCCAGGAGGCGGAGGTTGCACTCCAGCCTGGGCAACAAGAGCGAAACTCCATCTCAAAAAAAAAAACTTACTGAGCGCTTACCACGTATTAGGCACTGTGATTGATGCTACCATCCAACATAGTGCTTATAAGTAACAATACTGTAATATATACTTAAA